CTACCCACACACTCATCCACAAACCCACTCACCCCCTCACTCATCCATCCACTCACATACTCACCCAGCCACTCACCTACTCACCCAGTCACATACACATCCACTCACCATGCCACCCACTCAATTTCTAACCCACCCACTCGCCCAACCACTCCCTCAGCAACTCACCCACTAACCACGTAATTATTCACTCACCCACCCATCACTCAACCACCCAATAATTCAACCACCAAAACATTCCACCACCCACTAACTCAACCACCCACTACCACCCACTAACTCAACCACCGAGCCACTCACACTCACCCACCCACCCACCCACGCACTCACCCGCCCACTCACCAACACACTAAACTAAATCTAAATTGTGGTTATTTTACCAGGTAGGCCGACAGAGCTAAACATCTTTTTCAGAAAGACCTGGTTAAAAATTATAGGTCAACGAAGTGGCTTATGACATGTATTGCAAGCCAAATCCTATAAATGCTTGTTGATTTTAAATGTGGAGGAAATATACAGGTGTCAGGGTCGGGATCAAACCCACAACCTTCTGCATACCAGGCGCAGTAGTTAACATCTCGCCACCGTGGCGCCCCACTGTCTGACTCTCCCACCCACTAACCCACACACTCACCCACTCACTCAATCACCCACTCACTCAACTACTGAGCCATTCATTACACTGACCCACTCACTAAGCCACCCACTCAATCTCTAACTCACTCATGCACCCAGCCACTCACTCAGCGATTCACCTACGACGCATCAACCCATCTACTCACGCACCCACCCACTCATCCATACAATAAACTAATATTTAATTGTTTTTCATTTTACTGGGTAAGGCCCTGAGCTATAGATCTTTGTCGGAAAGCCACCTCACCACAAATGACAGTTCAATTAAGTGGCTTTTCACGTAGAATGTTATTGCAACCAAAATATATAAATGCATGTTCAAATGTGGAGGGACAACCCTGGAGAAAATTCCACGCGACCACAGGGAGAACATAGAAACTCCAATATACAAGTGGAAGGGCTGGGATAAAATCCACAACCTCCTGTATACTAGGCGAGGTAGTTAACATCTCGGCACCATGGTGCCTCACTCTCCGACTCACCTACCCACTAACACACGAACTCACCTCCCATATTCACACACCCATCTACCCAAAAACTCAACCACCCACACATTCACGCAACAATCCACTCACCCACCCACTCACTTATTCACCCACCCACTAAACCATGCACCTGTCCACTCACCTATTCATCCACCCACTCACACACCCATTAAGCAACCCACCCAACTTACCCTGCCACCCACTCAATCTCTAACCGACTCCCTCACCCAGCCCACGCAATCTCGAACCCACCAATTCACTAATCCTCTCACCAACTCACCAACCCCACCTCCTCACCCACTCCCACACCCACTCATCGCGCTGACCCACTCACTCACCTCAACCATTCACAAACCCACCCACCCACTCATTCACCCAACCACCCACCACCCACTCAATCTCTAAAACCCTTCACCCACCCACCCACTCAGCCACCCACTAACTCACCCAATCAATCTCTAACCCACTCACCTACCCACCCACCCACTCACCCAACCACTCGTCTATTCACTCCCAAACAACACACCCACTCACGTCACCCATGGCTTACCCTATCACCCACAATCTCTAACACACTCACTCACCTACTTCCTCGATCAGTGACCCACACTCACAGACCCACCCAGTTAATCACCCACTCTATGTGTAGTCCTTACCTCTTCTGGTAATGTGAGATATTCTTTTACCAGGTAAAGCCCACTGAGCTATAAAGATTGTTTTCAGAAGCATCCTCGCCACAAATGATAGTTCAACAAAGTCGCTGTATACATTTATTGCACCCAATTCCTCTTATTACATGTTTCTAAATGTGGAGTGAAATATACATGTGTCATGGTTGGGATCGACCCACAACTATTCTGTATAACAGGCGAGTAGTTAACATCTTGCCACCGTGGCGCTCAATTCTTTGACTCACCCCACTCAACTACTAAAGACACCCACTAACCGACTCACAAACCCACTCACCCTGCCACGCACGTCAATTTCTAACCCACTCACTAAACCACTCATCCACGCACCCACCTACACATGCACTCACCATTCACTCACCCAACAACCCACCCACCCACTCTACTTGACCAACTCACGCACCAACCCACCCACTCACACTGTGACCTACTCCATAGCTAACCCAACAACTCACCTCACATCAGCAGTCCCCTCACCTACTAACCTAACCACCCACCAACTCACGGGTCATCCAACTCCGCACGTCAAACCACCCACTCATTCAAAACTGTAAACTAATTTTTTTTTTTTACAAGGTAAGGCCCACAGGAGCTATACAAATCTTATTAAGAAGCAACGTGGCCACAAATCCAGAGGTCTCGGAGAGAAAATCCATGAACCACGAGGAGAACATGCAAACTCCAAATATACAGGCATCAAGATCGATGACCGAACCCACAACCTCCTTTACAAAAGGGTAGGTAGTTTAACATCTCGCCACCATGGGGCTCCACTCCTCTGACTCGCAGCCACCCACTTCAACCTACCCATTCAGCCACATACCCATCAGCCACATACCCATTCAGACCACATACCCATTCAGCCACATACCCATTCAGCCACCATACCCACTCAAAGACCCACCCACTCAGCCACATACCCAGTGACTAACCCACTCACATCAATTTCTAAACACCCATTCACAGCACTATCCACCTAACCTCCTACCACCACACACTCACCCACCCACACATCCATGCACCCCACACCGACGCACCCCACTTACTCATCCATCCAGTCACTAACTCACCCAGCCGTGCACCTACTCACTCACCCACTTTCAGATCCACTCACCCTGCCACCTACTCAATTTATAACCCACCTACTCACCCACCCACCCATCCAACCACCCGCCTACTTCCTCAGCAACTCACCCACTACCAACGTAATTATTGACCCACCCATTAATTTAATCACCTATTAACGTAACCACCCACAAACTCAACCACTGAGTCACTCGAACTTACCCACTCACCAAGCCACCCACTCAATCTCAAACCCACACTGATGCACTCACCCACCTGCCCACTTACTCACCAACACCCTTAACTAAATCTAAAAAAAAATTCCCCAGGTAAGGCCCACTCAGCTATATAGATTGTTTTGAGAAGCAGGGTTTGGATCGAACCTACGAACTTAAAAATACCAGGCAAGATAGTTAACAATTTGCCAACATGGCACTCCACTCTCTGACTCTCCCACCCACGATAACACACACTCAAACACCCACCCACTAACTCAACCATCCATTCATTCAACCACCGAGCCAAGCACACTCACCCACGCACCCAAGCCCACCCTCAATCGCTAGCCCACACCTCACTAACCCCAGCCACTGACCACTACCCATCAACATCGCACTCACTCTCCACATCATCCACCCAGCCACTCATCTGCACACTAAATGTAAATTACGCTTTTTATTTTACCAGGTAAGGCACTCAGCTATATAGATATTTTCAAAAACCATTTGACCACAAATATTCAACTCAATTAAGTGGCTTTTCACGTACAAAGTTATAGCAGGCCAAATTCTAATAATTGCATGTTTTTAAATGTGGAGGGAGAACCCGGAGCACCTGGAGAAAATTCCACGCGATCATGGGGAGAACATGCAAATATACAGGTGTCAGGGTCGGGATCGACCTCACGACCTCCTGTATAAAAGGCGAGGTAGTTAACAGCTCGCCACCACGGCACTCCACCCACTCACCCATTCAAACACCCACCAACCCACTCACAAACCCACCTCACCCTGCCACCCACTCAATCTCTAATCCACTCGCTCAACAATTTACTCACCCACTCACCTACTCAACTATTCACACCCCCACTCACACACCTAACCATTTACCCGCTCAATCTCTAACCTACCCACCAAATCACTCAATAACCCACCTACCCACTCACCCACCCAATAAACTAAATTAAACAATATCTTTTTATTTTACCAGAAAAGGTTCAGATAACTAAATTAATATTTTTAAGAAGTGGCCTGGTTAGAAATGATAGGTTAACGAAATGGATTATCATGGAGACATTCATTGCAGCCACATCCTCTAAATAAATGTTGATTTTAAATATGGAGAGAAAACCTGGAGGACCCGGAGAAAAATCCACACGACCACAGGGAGAACATGCCAACTCCAAATATACAGGTGGAAGGGATGGGATCGAATTCACAAACTCCTGTATACTAGGCGAGGTAGTTAACATCTCGCCACCGTGGTGCCTCACTCTTTGACTCACCCACCCACCCAATCACACACTAACAACTCACCTGCTCAACCTTCGATATTCACTCACCCACCCACTAACTGACTCACCCACCCACTCACCCAACAATCTACTCACCCGCCCACTAACCTATTCACTCAACCCCTCACTCACCCACTCCCCCACACAATATCGCACTGACCTACCCACGCACTCACTCACACAGTCACTCACTAATTCACCCACCCACCACCCACTCACCTATTCACCCACCTACTCAACCATCCACCCACTCATGCTCCCATACACTCACTTACTTATCCAGGCACTCACCTACTCACCCACCGACTTACTCACCCATTAAGCCACTCACCCACTCACCCTCCCAATCACCTAGTTACCCACCCACTCAATCTCTAACCCACCAATTTTCTCATCCACTCACCAACCCACCTCTCAGCCACTCCCTCACCCACTCACTCACTCCAAACTATTCACTCACCCACCAACCCACTAATTCACACAATCACCCACCACCCACTCAATCTCTAACCACTCACTCACCCACTCACACACCGACTTGCCCATTGACTCACCCACCAACTCACTCACAGACCCACCCAGTTAATCACCCACTGTATGTGTAGTCCTCACCTCTTCCAGTATTGTGAGATATTCTTCCTCCCAGCGGTATCTTCACGACAACGCCCTGGGGGGTGGGCAAGCCTCTCAACGAGTCGGGCGAGCGGGGCAACAGCCTGGTCATGTTGGGTTCATAGCGCAGTGCGGCACACGCATACACACAAGCAGACCACACACATATGAACACAATAACAACAGTGGGAGCCACTCATGCGATAGGGATGGGCCGCATGGTCCACTCCAGCTCGATGTACGGCTTGCCCGGATACAATGTTAACTACCTCGTCTGGTATACAGGAGGTTGTCGGTTAGATCCCAACCCTGACACCTGTATATTTGGTGTTTGCATGTTCTCTCCGTGGTCAAGTGGATTTTTATTCTGGTCCTCTGGATTTTCCCTACACATTTAGAAACAGGCGTTTAGAGTAGTTGGCTGCTATAAATTTCCACATAAGGCACGTTGTTGACCTATCATTTGTGGCCAGGTCACTTCTAAACAAGTAAACCCGTAAAAACAAAGTTTTTCACTCTAAATCCTTTATATGCGTGGCGGCTAGAGTCCTCTCGTCCTCTGGCTTGAGATGGCTGCAATCTATGGGACAGATGATTGTCTGCCAGTATTAAGCAATTGGTAATTAAATATTTAATTTGTTTTCCCTAAACGAGTCTGTGTGGAAAATGTCAGCTCGATTGGATCACGGGAAGTGGGTTAAAAAACGAGCAAAAGATGTGCACGGTCCTAAGCAAGCAAGCGAACTTAATATAAAGGATTTAAAAATATATTCGCCTGTGGAGGACGCGGGGATCGATCCCGCGACCTTTGGCATGGGAAGCGAGGGCGCTACTAACTGCGCTACTCCACCACGGCCTGTGGAGGGGTTACGCTCTGGGCTCTTGCACTGTGATGTTCAGCCAAAGCCATGAATGCGTTCGATTTGAATATATGTAAAATCATTTTTTTTTTCCTAAAAAGTGTAAAATTTTGGGAATTTTTTTTCACCAACAATAATTGTCTGGCACAACGAGTCTGTGGAAAATGTCAGCTCGATTGGATCACGGGAAGTGGGTTAAAAAACGACCGAAAGATTTGCACGGTCCTAAGCAAGCAAGCAAGCACGCGAACTTAATATAAAGGATTTAAAAAAGAGTTATGTTACTCAGTGAGATGGTTGAGACACAGGTGATGAGCCTGTGTGTAAGGGGTTGAGTGAGTGAGCGGTTTAATTCATGATTGAGTGATTGATTGGTTGAGTGAGTGGCTGAGTGAGTGAGTGAATGGTTGAGTGAGTGGCTGAATGAGTGATTTATGGAGCGATTGGTTCAGTGAACGAGCGGGCGGTTGAGTGAGCGAGTGAGTGGTTCAGTGAGTGAGTGGTTGAGTGAATTAGTGAGTGGTTGAATGAGTATTTGAATGAGTGAGTGTTTGAACCAATGAGTGAGTGTTTGAGCGCATGCGTGTGTGGTTGAGTGAGTGGTTGAGTGAGTGAGTAGTTGAGTGAGTGGTTTAAGTTAGTGGATGAGTGAGTGAGTGGTTTTATGAGTGGCTGAGTGAGCAAGTGGCTGGCGCGCACCTTGGCTGCGTTGTCCAGAGTGTCCCGCTGGTGCCGCTCCACTGTGTTGCTGCACTCCGCCAGGGTGAGAGCGGCGGTGCCGCGCCCGCAGCTGCTCCAGCGACTACGCCATCTTGCCCAGCCCCTCCTGGCGAGCACGCAGCATGCCCTGGAGCTCCCATCACATGGTGCTGGCAATCTGAGACACCCGCCTGTAGCACACACACAGAAGAATAGATACGGGAATGGATTATGGCGACCTGGGTAACGAGAAGATCACTACTTCGCCCGGTATACAGGGGGTTGTAGGTTTGATCCAAACCCTGATGCTTACATATTCAACTCTGCTCGTCCTGGCGGGGAGAATCCAATCACATTTATTCGATGCGATGTTTCTCATGGGATATAATAAGCGACAACATTTGGACCCCAAACCGAGAGGATTCTGGGATGTTTGTGGTTTTTTGGCAATAACTCTGGAAAGAAATGTCGCAGACCCATCAAGGTGGGACTCGTCCAGCGACATAATGGTTGAGTGACTGGTTGAATGAATTCGGGAATGGTTGAATGAGTGAGTGGTTGAGTGAGTGGTTCAGTCAGTTAGTGGTTGAGGGAGTGAGTGGCTGAGTGAGCGAGTGGTTGAGTGATTGAGATAGAGTGACTGAGCGGGCTGAGCGGTTAGTTAGTTAGTGAGTCGTTGAGTGAGTGTGGCTGATTGAGTGAATGGTTGAGTGAGTTAAAGAGTGATGGTTGAGTGGTTGAGTAAGTGATTAAGTGAGTGAGTGGTTGAGTAAGTAGCTTCGTGAGTAAGTAGCTTCGTGAGTGCGCGGCTGAGTGGTTGAGTGTGTGGCTGAGTGAGTGGCTAAATGAGTGAGTGGCTGAGTGAAAGGGTGAGTGGCTGAGTGAAGGAGTGAGTGGCTGAGTGAGTGAGAAAGTAATTGGTTGAGTGGTTGAGTAAGTCATTAAGTGAGTGAGTGGTTGCTCTAGTGAGTGGTTAAGTGAATGGTTAAGTGAGTCCCCAAGCCGAGAGGATTCTGGTGAGTCGTTGAGTGGTTTGGTGAGGGGTTGAGTGAAAGTTTGAGTGAGGGGTTGAGTGAGTGAGTGGTAGAGTTAGTCGTTGAGCGAGTGGTTGGGTGAGTGGTTGAGTGAGCGAGTGCTTGAGTGAGCAAGCGAGTGGTTGAGTGAGTAAGCGAGTGGTTGAGTGAGTAAATGGTTGAGTGAGCGAGCGGTTGAATGAGCGAGTGGTTTAGTGAGTGAGTGGCAAGTGAGTGGCTGAGTGAGTGATGGTGATGGTTGAGTGAGTGAGAGCGTGATGGTTGAGTGATTGAGTGAGTGGGTGGTTGAATGATTGCTTGAGTGGTTGAGTTAATTATTGAGTGAGTGAGTGGTTGAGTGAGTGAATATCTGAGTGAGCGAGCGGCTGAGTAGTTGAGTGAGTCGTTGAGTGAGTGTGTGGCTGAGTGAGTTTGTGGCTGAGTGAGTGAATGGCTGAATGAATCACAGCTATGATAAAAATGGACATCAGCAGTAAATGAAGTTTAATATAAAATTGTACACTCACAGGATCGAAATAAAGATG